CTGAAGCTCAGCGCTAACTTTTATACGTTCTGCCTTGGCTCCAAAAACCATTACCTCAGTTTTATCTTTGTTTAATTGGAGAAAGTTCTGACGCATCCAGTCATTGATTTGTTCAATGCACTTACTCAGTGTTTGAATTGGAACATAGTCTCCTGGTGAAATTGTTACGTACATTTGTGTGTCATCCGCATAGCTATGGTAACTTATTTTGTTGTTTTTCATTATCTGAGCCAGTGGTAGCATGTAGATGTTAAAGAGAAGAGGCCCCAAGATGGAGCCTTGAGGAACCCCACGTGTCATATTTGTGAACTCAGATGTGTATTTACCTATAGAAACAAAGTTTTTTCTGTCCTTTGAGTAGGATTCAAACCAATTTAGAACTGTTGATGAAAGTCCCACCCGGTTTTCCAGTCGGTCTAGTAATATGTTGTGGTCAACAGTGTCAAACGCAGCCCTGAGATCTAATAACACTAACACTGAAGTTCTGCCACTGTCTGTGTTTAAGTGGATGTCATTGAAGACCTTTACAAGAGCAGTCTCAGTTCGGTGGTTTGGACGAAATCCTGACTGGAACACATCCAAACAGTTATTTAAATGCAAGTAATTACTCAACTGTTGAAAAACAACTTTTTCAATAATTTTACCTACAAATGGCAGGTTTGATATGGGCCTGTAATTGTTCATTACTGAAGCATCTAGATTATAATTTTTTAAGAGTGGTTTAATGACTGCAGTTTTCAGGGCCGGTGGAAAAACACCTGAGTAAAGAGACTTGTACTATGTGAAGTAGATCTGAGGCCAGGCAATGAAAAACATCTTTGAAAAATCCTGTTGGAATAATATCAAGGCAGCAGAAGGAGGATTTCAGAAGTTGAATAATGTCCTCTAGGTTTTTATCATTAATCTGATGGAATTGTGTCATGGTATATGAATTGATTAACACTTGAACACATTTGCTGTACCTGATGCAGAGGCACTGACTACTTGTCTGATTTTCTGAATGTTGTCAGTGAAGAAGGAGGCAAAGTCATTGCAGGCCCTGGTGAATAGTAATTCAGAGGCTACTGACACTGGGGGGTTTGTTAGTCCGTCGACGGTAGCAAATAAGGCACGTGCGTTGTTTTTGTTTTTGATGTCAGAAAATAAAGACTGTCGTGCGTTTTTCAATTCCAAATTATAAAGGCCAAGTCTCTCTTTATAGATTTCAAAATGAACCTGGAGATTTGTTTTTCGCCACCTACGTTTTCAGCTTTTCGACACTCTCTTTTTTCTGTTTTCATGGTCATGGCCTTTCTCCATGGAGATATTTTCTTGCCAGTCACTTCCTTTATCTTAGTTGGAGCAATGGCATCTATAAAAATGTTAATTGAATTAAAAATGATCTACTAGCTCATTTACTGAGATCTTAGCAGGGGCAAGTGTGGAAGAAAAATTCTGAGTAAACAT